ATTATTATGATAAAATTGATAGTTTGTAAATAATTTTTGTTAGATAATATATAATAACTAGTATTTGATCCTGTGTTGCGGATATGTTTGGTAAAATTAGCTGATAAGCTAACTTATAGTTTATTAGTAGTTTCCGAGCTTATAGTTTATGACTTATAGCTGAAAAGTTAGCTTATATGATAAAAGTGTTTGGTAAAATTAGCTGATAAGCTAACTTATAGTTTATTAGTAGTTTCCGAGCTTATAGTTTATGACTTATAGCTGAAAAGTTAGCTTATATGATAAAAGTGTTTGATAAAATTAGCTGATAAGCTAACTGAAATAAAAATTTCAACGAGCTTATTTGAAAAGCTACCAAAAGAAGCTTATCAAATAAGCTCGAACTTTTTAAATAAGTTCGTCCTACCAAACGAAGCTTATTTAAATATAGGGTGCTTATAAGCTAATCAAATAAGCTATAAGCTAGCTGCTTATTGGTCTACCAATTTGCACAGATATAAAACACGTTTTTATTTGTATTTATTAATTAGACATATACTTCTATCATATAAAAATTATTACTTTTTCTTAAGTTATTTTTATCATTCAAAATTAATTGGGATATAAATTTTATTTTAACAGTGCAATGTTTACATTAGTAACATCAATAAAATAATTTATATATTTGTGGCATATATAAAGAAAATTAACATAAATAAAAAAAAATTAATGGTGTTTCTGATTTTTAGAAAAAAAAAATATGTATCAATCATTTTTTTCTTCCAACAATGCAACCAGACATAGCGGTTACAACTCTGAATGATCCAATCAACTTTAAGTTCCAATATTAATCATTTCACATTAGAATATTTTACTATCAAATTTAGAATTAATTTAATAACTAATCCAAAAAATAAATAATAAAAATTTATATATTAAGGTGTAACGCTGTTAGTAACTCATCCAAACATAGCGGTTTGGGAAAGGGCTGAAGTACACGTATGCAATTCACCTAATATATTTTTCGTCTACTACTTATGTTATGTGATTTATTTTATTCTAATTCTATTACAAGTAAAAAAATTTATTTCTACATATGCTACATAATTGTCTCTTAATCTCTCTCTTCTATTAAAGCATAAAACTAGGTAACTGTTACATACCATTTTGGAAAGAGCTCGTTAAGAGCATCTCCAATGTGACTTTTGACATTGCAAAAAATTATCCATATCATCAACTTTTGAAAGTTTATTACTAATTTATTCTCCAATGCATCTTGTCATTAGCTTTTTCATGATGATGTGGATGACATTTAATGTTAACAATGTTGAACTCACTTTCTAATATCTAACACCATGTTAAACATGATGACTCATTAATTCACTTTATATTTGGTTTAATTTTTTATTATTCTTGTATTAATGAATTATTATAATTGGTCCACCTATACAAATAAATTCTTATGAAATTGGTGCATTGGAGATACTAGTTTGATTCAAATTTTTAGTCTTTTAACATTATTCTTATGTGGATTAACATTACAATCATCAATTGACATGTGTTAAAAATTATTACCTTTCAACACCATAGCATTAGAGATGCTCTAAGAGCTCGAAGCTCTCCCAAGGCTCCGATTCAATTTACGGGAAGTTAAGATGGAAACTCGACGGTCGCTCGTGCTGCATATGGTTCACGATTCGACTTATCTTGAGCCTCAATGTCGATTTCAGGTCATCCATATTTTGTCCCTGTTTTTTCTTCTTTTTTTGGTTTTTTGCAGAATCATAGGTGATTTCAGGGAACTCGTTGGCGCGGGCATAGGCCGCCTACGAATTGAGTATTGATTTGGAGTTGGAGTCTCGGAAGGCGGGTTTGATTTGGAGGAGAGTTTCGAGGTCGTCGGAGACGGCGGAGAGGAGGAGACCGAGGAGGTGGAAGACGACGGTTTACACTATATGATATTCGGTGCAGTTCGATTAATATCGCACCCTTCAGACACAAAATCAAATCACATCAAAAATTTTGCAGTTTAAAATCCAAACCGCATCGAAACTGAACTCTTAAGAAGCCGAATCGAACTGCACCGAAAGTATCTGTTCGGTTCGATTCGATTTTTTGGTTTCGCCTCGGTTTTGTTCACCCTTAAATTCAATAATAGGAAAAAAAATAAAAGTGTTTATCCCACCACCAATTCTTAATTTAACCAATTGGTTCTTTTATTTAAAGACAAATAGTATGATGAACTTATGTTCACCCTCTTTTAAGACCCAAGTATATGTTCTTCATAATACTTTTAAAATAAAGTTAACAAGAAATAAAAGATTAGTAAGTTGTTCGTATATGCCACTTTTCTATTGCAATCTTTTTAAAATTCGTTTTCAATGAGCGAGTCCCTAACTTTTGTCCATTCCATTGGGCGGTTTCTACTGGTTGCTGGTTTTCTATCATCCTATGCAATACTTATGTGTTTCACATGTGGTCCGTTCAAAAGATACTGATGATTCATTTATGATGGGCCCATGAAATTATATTTATGTTTGTGAATTTATTTTTATAAATGAAATTCTTTTCCACGTTGAAACAAATTCAAAAGGAAAAATAATTATTATAGTACATAGCCCGTGCGATGCACGAGACAATAATTATAAACTGCATATATTAAGAAAGAACTGCATGTATAAAAAAAGAAAGAATGTTGATGAGTATAAAAATAGTTTTGAATATTAATACTATTTTTTTCTTTTATTTTATGACATATAATAATTATATGAATTATATGTTTATTTCACTTGTTAAAAAAGTTATCATTTTAGAGTTCTTGATTATAATTAAGGATAATGAAAATTTGATATGTTCAAATATTGTCGATAAATAAAACTCACAAAATCTCTCTCTCTCTCTCTCTCTCTCTCTCTCTCTTTCTCTCTCTCTCTCTTTTTACCCATAGCTTATTACAATATTTTATGTCGATTTCTAAATAAGTTATGCTAAAATTAAAAAATTGTGTCAAATATTATAATCAACAATTAATTAAAAATACCAACCTGGGTCGTCTATCAAAGGAAAGTTGTTCAGACACGAATTCAAACAACGGTTGATTCACAAGAAAGAAGAAATAAAGGCCCTAAACACTCTACTCTTAATTTGGTGATTGATTTAAGCTAAAGGTCGCAACTTTACGCTAAAATGAAACCAGAATTTGATTTTTAAAGCAAGCAAGTCCTCAATTTGCAATAAAAAAGAAAATAAAGATAAAAAGACTAAGAACTTAAGACCCGAGATGGAAAGTAGGCATTCATAGGTTTGAAATCATGTAGTCAAGCAATTATCACTCGCGATGAACAAATCATGCTCTCAATTAAATTCCCGCTCATGCAATGAACAACAAAATCACATAATCTCCAGCATACAAGGATGATAGCATATTCTATTCATGAAAACTCATACCTTTACCCTAAAAAATCTAATAAGTAAAGACAAAAAAAACTTTTATATCCAAACAAAAAAAATCCAAACAAAACCAAAAATTTTTATATCCAATCATCCTCTAAGTCTCCAAGTCTCTTGTAGCATCCACGAAAAGAAAATAAGCCAGAAAATTACAATCTTGACGGAGAGTTATTACAATAAATTGGATCTTGGTAGAGAGAGAGAGAGCTAAAAAGAGAAAAATTTTGCAGCTTAGGAATTCTTATTGAAATACAAGGGATTAAGTATTTTTATACTACTAGCTAAAAAACACACTAAAAAACACACATTAAATAAGGGTTTATAACCTTGCATCCATTCATAAAGATAATTATTAAGAAAATATTCCAAAAATCCGACCTAATGAACTACCTAAATAACAACCTTGCCCATCGTATGATATGATACAAGCCCATGGTTCCAAAAATCCGACCTAATTATATATATTATTTTATATTATATTATATCATTTTTATTTTAAACCCGATCGTTTTTCCTTTTATTTTCAATTAAAATAAAAACATCAAAATTCCTTCTGTTCTACGTGTCGACCTAATTTATTTCCTTTCTGGCATGTTATTGCGTGATGTTTAGTGTCAGATTACACGATATTGTTTTTCTTTTAGACTTCTATCTCATCGGATTCTGCTTTTGTTTAATTCCTTCTTATATGCGCAATATTTTTCCGTCTTATATTTATTTCGTCCCCGGAGAATTCTCCCCCACCTATTGTCGAAACTAAATCTAATTTCCGCTGAAGAAACTTCCGTCGATTGATCAGGTGAATTGAAAATCCGCGGCGCCGTAATTTCAGTTTTATCTATTTGATTTCAATGCATCCTTTGTCATGGATCGGCTTGAGTTTTTCTTTTCTATTTTGGTATGTTTTCTCAGAAATTAATGAAGTGTCTGAGAGGCCGTGATTGATGTGTTTGATTTCAAGTGTGGATTTTGCTTGTGGAAATTTTGTTCTTCGGTTTAATTGAGCTGATTTGTATGGCATAGCTCTTTTTTATGACGATTGATTCAGATTAAGTGCGTTGACTCAGTTTCTGTTGACTCAGTTGTGCCTAGGTTATTGAATTAATAATCTGGTGAGGCAAAGAAAATTGATTATGTTTATCTGCTGAGAAAACACAAAACGATATTCATCTACAACCAAGCAGTAGTTGTTTCCCTTTTTTTAAGGATTGATCTGCAAATGCGCGTCTGAATGTGTTTGCGCACTTGTATCGCATTCATTGTCTGTCATGGCTTGTGAGTAATGTTATCAGTTTGTTGCTTTTTTTTGAGAAAAAATGTTCTTTACCTCAGTTGATTACAAGAATCCTTTCATAATAATTGCAATGTTTTATCTTATTGTTTTCCCTTTCAATAGAGCAGTGCTTCGGGCAATGGCCATACTAATTGCAAAACAAGAACAGCACAACATGGCTGTAATGTCGAGAAGCCTTAGACCAAGGACATCACGCAGGAGAAAGCTTATTATTTTCTCGGAGGACGAAGAAGAAGAAGATGAAGAAACCGTAAAATTACTGCCCACAAAACCCGAAAACTCACCTGATCCGTCCCCAAAGAAGAAAAGAAGCCTGACCATGAAAAGACTCTCGAAAATTCAGAATTGTGAGGACAATATTGTCCCCTTAAAGAACAGACGGCACCCTCTTTATTCTTGCAAATTATTAGATTATGGTAACTCAGATGAGGAGCCTGAAGGTCACTATGGGTCGCTGAAAAAGTTACTGAAGAAAACAGAAGGCCCGTCAAAACGGAAAAGGACTTCTCGGGAGGTAGTAAACGTATCCTCCGGAAAAAGTGTACCTGGGTCAAGTCGCAAGAGAACGAATGAGAAAAAGGCCTGTGAAAATAAAGTTAATGGGAGAAAAGGAGAAAGCGAGAGCGATGAAGAGTGGGACGAAAGCAAGGAGCGGTGGATGGGTGTATCAAACGGAAATAGCAAACAAGTCCAGAATGAGGATAATCGGAGAAGTTTGAAAAGGTGCAGGTCCTCTTCCAATAAGTTTATGGAGACGAATTTCATGTTGTACGACTGGGTGGACGATGAAGAGGACCTCATTTCATATATTGACATGAATTTAGGAGGAAGTGAATCTGTCAGTGTCCAAACTCATGATGCTAATATGGAGAAAGCAAATGATAGTCTAGAGGTCACGAGAAGGAATTCCGACGATTTTCAGAACAATTCCTCGTCTGATTTATCATCATCATCATCAACATCCTCAACCTCAAGCTCCACCCTGAAATATACTGTATCCACTTCTAAAATTGATAGGAAAAAGAATCGGAGATTATTAGCTGTGAACACAAAGGTGTGGTTTCTCTTGAAATTTCTTGCTAAATCTTAAATATTTTCCTTGGGTGTGAATATTCCGATTGTGCTGTTGTGTGCATATTCCAACTGTGTTGTTGCTCGATTTTTTTTTTTTTTCCAGAAGCAGATGAAGGAGAGCGTGAAATGCCATCAATGTTGGAGATCAGATAGAAGAATTGTAGTTCCATGCTCAGAGTGCAATGAAAAATTTTACTGTGTGACGTGTATTAAGCAATGGTGCATATTCTAACTTGACATTCTTATGTTGTGAATTATTCATTGGAATTTTCTCTAACTCTTTGTACTCGTAGGTATTCCACATTAACAGAAGAGGAAATCTCTGAGGTGTGCCCATACTGCCGTGGGATATGCAACTGCAATGTGTGCTTGCATTCACCTTCCACCCTGAAGGTTTTGTTTGTTCATAACAAAAGTCATTAACTTTGTTCAATTTTTTTTTTTTTTTTGCTATCTGCTAAATATTTTTTGTGCTCTGATTCAGACATCAAAAAGAGATGTCGAAGACAACGAAAAGATTCGACATCTGCATTACCTCATCAGAAAAGTTCTACCACACCTGGAGAGCATTAATCAAGAGCAAATTGAAGAGATCAAAATAGAGGCTACAATTCGGAGTATGTGCCTTTAAAACTCGAGGCTGTATATTTATTTCGAAAATCTTTCTCTGACAGAACGTTTATTTGTGTTAGCAGATGTCCCATTATCTTCAATCAAAGTAAAACGCGCGGCTTGCTATAATGAAGAGCGTGTGTATTGGTAAAGTGATTGATCTTTATTTTTTCCTTTTCACCTTGCACTCAGAAGCTCATTGATCTCATGAGATGTCTTAATGTACTTACTTTCTTGTGTTGTTTTATTTAACAGCAACCACTGCTCGACCTCGATAGTTGATCTTCATAGGAGTTGTCCAAACTGCTCGTATGAGCTCTGCATCAGATGTTCTCGTGAGATTTATGCTGGTCAGATTCCTGGTGGGCCCAACAATGAAATTCATTATTATGTGGACAAAGGCTATGACTACATGCATGGTGGGGACCCATTACCAGAATCTAGCCATGCAGAGACAGCTGAAAGAAATCCAAAAACGCCATTCAATTGGGTTATCAAACAAGGGTACATTGTTTGTCCTCCCAAAGAAATGGGTGGGTGTGGGGTGCAAGAACTAGAGCTCAAATGTCTCCTTCCGGAAGACTGGATCTCGGATTTGGTCATACGGACTGAGAAAGTCATGAGTAGGTGTGATGAAACTCTTATGAGTGCTTCCCAGCCTGTAAACTGCAGTAGAGACCCCGAGAGATCGTGCAAAGCGGCTTTTAGAGAAGAATCTGGTGATAATAACTTGTGCTGCCCATATGCAGAGGATATATTGAACGAGGATGGGCTTCTGCATTTTCGCAGGCACTGGGCTCGAGGGGAGCCCATGATTGTTAGAAATGCTCTTGACCAATCGAGCGGGTTGAGTTGGGAGCCAATGGTCATGTGGCGTGCGTTATCTGAGCACACAGATGAAAATATGAGTTCAAGGATCTCGGGTGTGAAGGCCATTGACTGCCTGGCTGGTTGTGAGGTTATATAAATTCCCAGTATATCTCTCTTTTTTTTTTCTTTTTTTTTTCTTTTCTGCCTGAGAAATTCATTAAACTGAATCATTGGTTGTTTCCAATTGAGCTACGTGACATGGAAGAATTCTTGGACTTTAAAAAGAAATGGAAACACAGCTCTGGTCAGTTGTGGGGGCTAACTAAATAAAAATTGTGTTGTATTAAGTAAATACATTTCTATTCTGATTGTACAGACTATTTTGTTTTTCTCTCAAACAAGTTATTTTGGCACCTGCAGGTTGAGATTTGTACGCGTAAATTCTTCAAAGGATATACAGACGGCCGACGATATGCAAACTTCTGGCCTGAGATGCTCAAACTCAAGGATTGGCCTCCGTCCGACAAATTTGAGGATTTATTGCCCCGCCATTGTGACGAGTTCATCCGTGCTTTGCCATTTCAAGAGTACACTGACACGAGGGGCGGGCTCCTCAACCTTGCCGTGAAATTGCCAGCAAATGTTATAAAGCCTGATATGGGCCCGAAAACATATATTGCCTATGGCTTTGCGGAGGAGCTGGGGAGAGGGGATTCTGTGACTAAGCTCCACTGTGACATGTCGGATGCGGTATGAATATTCCAAAGATATTGCGCAAATATCGTATTTCAGTTTGTGAATTCAAGGATGTTTTGCATGACATCATTCGGTGTTTGAAATGAATTCTCAAGATGTTTGCGCAATGTCTTTTGGCAGTGTGAATATTCAAAAGTAGTGCGCAAATATCGTGTTTCAGTTTGTGAATTCAAGGATGTTTTGCATGACATCATTCGGTGTGTGAAATGAATTCTCAAGATGTTTGCGTAATGTCTTTTGGCAGTGTGCTTTGTGAAAGTTAACACTTGACATGGGATCACAAGTTTTTTACTTTGTGATTGGTATATATTCACCGCATGTCAGGCATACTGGAGATGTCCTCCCCTTGAAATCATATAGTCCAATTATGAAGCAATGTGTAATTGCCAGGTTATGGTTTGATGTCCAAATTCATATGATTTGCTAAAGTTTGTTTGTTCCTTGGTTTTGGTGAGCTAGGAATGTATCCATCTCATTTTTTTATCTTATGAAAATTAGGCTTCTTTTCATTAACACAAACGAGAATTTGGATGTTTGGCCAGACAATTTTGTATCTCATGAGAAAAGATTTTTTTCCCTTTCCATGTTTTATTTTTATTCAACCCTCTTTATCAGTCGAAATGCATTTGAATTGTTTTGCTTTAGGAAGAAATGCATATGATTGAATGTTTTGCTTTAGGAAGCATGTAATCGAGCAAAACATATTTTCAAGCACAAATACACACTCACGAGTGAAGTTACAATGTTTTTTCTTTGTTTTACTTGTTTGAAGTTTGATACCAGATAATATTCACTAAAATCTATCTGGTTTCAGGTCAACATTTTGACGCACACAGCTGAAGTAGCTGTCAGTGAAGAGCAATACCAAGCAATCGAATCATTGAAAGAGAAGCACAAAGCTCAGGATGAACGAGAAAGTGGGGCACAAATAAAATATGAAAATTCTTGCAATGATAGAGCAAAGAAAAATGAGCAACAAGAAGACAGACAGCCATTAGAGAACAGAGGTGGCGCTCTGTGGGACATCTTTAGGCGGGAAGATGTCCCGAAATTGAAAGAATATCTAATCAAACATTCAAAAGCATTTAGGCACACTTATTGCTGTCCAGTTGAACAGGTAATTTTGGAACAATTGTCAGCTCCTTGTTTTGAATGGACATGTAGCCGTGTACTAAATATTTTTGTCTGTTTGCATTTGCACTTGGCCTAATGTTTAGGTCATTCACCCAATCCATGACCAGACCTTCTACCTGAATTCAGAACATAAAGCTAAGCTCAAGGAAGAATTTGGTAAGCAGATGATAATTCTAATTCAATTGGCAATAAATTATTTAACAAACTAACCGTTTTATGATTCCAGGCATAGAACCATGGACATTTGAGCAGAAGCTTGGAGAGGCAGTTTTCATACCTGCTGGCTGCCCACACCAAGTGAGAAATCTAAAGGTAAATAAAGGGTAAAAATACAGCTAATCTTGTTTTTTAACTTCACAACTGTCAGTATTTTTCTTAATAAAATGCAATTTACACTTCATAAGCATTTATAATTTACAATCTCCAGTGCATTTTGGCCATTAACATCCACACACATGAGATGTTATAGAGATTGCAAATTATAAATATTAATAGAGTTCAACTTGCATTTTACCAAATATCCAAAACCGAAAAACATGTTATAGAAAAAGTTTGCCCATAAATAAAATGAGAACAATGGGAACAGTTGAGTTGCAAAATTTTCAGTAAAAAAAACAAAAAAAAGAGTTTGAAATTCTTAACCTTATAGTTACTTATTTTGGGCAGTCATGTACCAAAGTTGCCTCAGACTTTGTCTCTCCTGAAAACTTAGACGAATGCCTTAGACTAACCGAGGAATTCAGAAAGCTACCAAGAGACCATAAAGCCAGAGAGGATAAATTAGAGGTGGCTTTCCCATATCCTGTATTTTTTTTTTTTTAAATTCTACACGATTGCATTTTCGTAAAGTAATTACCAATGGATATATATGACAGGTCAAGAAGATGATCCTTCATGCTGTCAATCAAGCACTTGATGATCTGGAAAAGCTGGTTGCAGGTCCTGCAGATTCAGAACTATAGTTACATCACCATCAGGAATTTAATTTTGCCATATACTCAAATTGTGAGTAGGTTAGCATATATAGAATAAAGCTTTTGTACTGTTTTTGTTCGTGGCAGCTGCCTGGTGTCGACCAATCACGTTACACTCCCCATATCTAATAGAACTTGCCGGGAGAAATGTGGTGGAATGAAATTCTGGAGAAAAAAATGTGTCAGAAAGAAACAATAACTTATAACATTGTTTTCAGTACATGTTATGATCTTTTCTCAATATTTGGGGAAAATATACAGATTCATTCTGTTACATGGAATTTGCAGGTTAGCCAACTAGTCTGAACCAAATCCACAGATTTGGAAGGTGAAGGTTTGATAAGTTGATGCTAAATGAATACTACTCTGATAAATTCTTGCTTTAAATGATCAAAACTCACAAGCTAATATATGCTTCCCAATTATATAGTTGGGCTCGAAGAATAGAATTAAGAGAGTATCACTAAATGTTGAGAACTAATCAACTCTATTGTTAACTGGACTCTAAGACCTAAAAGATGAAAATTGGTTACATCGTTCAATTCTTTCTAAATAAGAATGATGAAGACTTATTAAACTATATACTTTACAAGTACAAAATTTCACATACAAATATATACTTATTAATTGCAAATTTGTATAAATATCAATTCATGTCATTGTTTTTACAAAAATGCCACTATTGGTCGTAATAACAAGTGTCCTTTTTTGTTGGTTTAGTGATACAATACAAAAGATTGTACTTTTTAAAGAACAAGAACAAAGGTGTCACTTTTGCAAAAGTAAGGAATAAAATACACATGGAACGAACTCACAAATATGGAGGAACGAACAGAGGCATTTACCTTCACAATTTGAAAAAACGTTGAGCATGCTGATCCTATTTCGCAGGAGTATTTCCCTTTTGCCCATTTTGGAATATGATCTTCAATATCCAATTGAATTGGGAAGGTTTTTCTCCATTCCATATTTTAGATATGATTTACAGTGCACAGAAAATCGATTTGGTTGGTTGTAAGGATTATGTCGAAACTCACAAACCAAAAATATAGGCTCGAACTGCCGGTTGAACCGGCCAGTTCGCTGGCTGGCCGGACCGCCGGCTCGGGCTGAACCGGGCGGTCGGGTGCTGGCTCGGACTGACCGGGCTCGGTCCCGCACCGGGCCTGCTGGTGCCCGGGTGCGGCGCTGGGCACGCTGGGTGCGACCGGGCGCGGGCTGGCACGACCCTGGCGTTGGTCGTGCCTCTCGGGTGTTGCTGGGCACGGTCGAGGCTTGCTTGACGCGCTGGCGTGCGGCCTGTTGGAATTGACTGAGATTTTTTTATGCTTCTAGGTACTCTCACTCTCTTTTCTTTGTCCAATTCCGTCGTACCGAACAAGAAACGGACGAGCAAGAAACAAAAGCGCCAGAAAGCACCAAGCAACCCATCACTTCATTTGCCCACACCTACAAAACAATGAGAAACAATTAACTTATTATGATGCTAGAATTTCAACGTATTCATTCTATTACGAGGGACCAAACTGTTTTAACGATTCATGCCAATGTATATAATGTGCATATGCTTTCTAAACATTCCAAAATTTCACACCTTCAAGAGAGCAAAACAAACAATTACAAATGATGTTACTCCCCTCCATTTAGTTCAATTATCTGTCATGTGCTTTCTTTTACATATATTAAATTATTAATTAAGAGAAGTAGTTGTTGATGACTTGATGTTACATTCTCTATATTAAATGAAATAAGTTGAGTTTTTGCTATTTTCAAAATTCAATAATTTACCCTCTAAGCAAATGAAATGGCACTGAACTCATTGTCATTTGAAAGACAAAAAATAGTGATTAACTGATACACTTATGATCCAAGTAAATATGCAATAAATATGTCCGGGGTTTTCACCGAAAGTGACATGAAATGAAGGACGTATGGGACAAAACGAGTAGATGCTAATTTTAGAAAATATATTTCTAATCTAAAGGTTTGTTTTCCAAGTTCTCACATGAAAACATTAGATTGCAAAACCCAAATACCCCCAATGATGAAAATATATGTTAGTCCATTAATAATTATGTATTTGTTGGAGTATCACTTGTGAGTTGCTGAGTTGCTGCACATTGAATAAATAGGGCAAATGAGCTAGTTTATAAGCTTAGTGGGTTACTCCTACCAATTGATTTTGAGATGGAACCTAGCACCTAAGTTTACTCTTTTAAGGTAGCACCTATGTAACTATTTGAATGAAACTTTTTTACTATTTTTTTCAAAAGGAGCTATTGTTCTTTGGTTTTTAAGATATAAGAATAAAAAAGGTAGAAAAATAAGGTTGCTGAGAATTGACGGATGCTGAGAATTGACAGAAGCATCTCCAACATCTCCGACACCACCAAAGCCAAGGACATCCATCTCAAAATACAAGTGCCTAGAAAAACGAAGGAAAAGACGTGCCTATTGCCAGAATTCAGTCTTCGATTTACAATCACCATAGGTGGGGAGGAAAAGGCACAAATTAATTTGGGCTACAATAGAATCAAGGGAATTGAAATCTCTTTATTTAAATTTTTTTAAATACTAATTTTCTACTTTCAATCTCCTTAAATAGATTTGTGGAAATGATTATAAATTCATTGTCCGACTCAATGATGTTGACTTGCGGTGGTGATGAACAAAGAGTCATATAAGCAAAAAGTGTGGTCAACAACGGTGGGATAAACAATAAATTTTAATTATCTATGTATGAGTCATTTAAAATTCTTTAAAATAATAACAATCTAATGTAGCATGAATGTGACATTCTCCAACTTCTATTATTATCCCATAGAAATTTGAACTTGTAAATTTTAAATCTATTAGTTTCAAATCTATTAATAAATCCCTCAATCCCAACATAGCCTTAAGATTTTGTTGGACATATTGTATGTAAGTAAGAAATGGTATCATAAGCTCATAAACAATAATCAATTCAAACCCTAATCTGTTCAAATTGTTGTTCGCCTTGGTGCTCTGAACGCTACACCAAGGCGCTAGCCTAGATGGCGTCTTTTGCAAGGGTGCCTCGCCACATGTGCTCGAGGCGCCCAAGTGGTGCCATGCTTCGGCTTATGCCATGGCAATGCCTTTTTAATCAAGGGATAAAAATTTGTATAAATATCAGTGGACTAGAAGTCGCTAAAATATTTTATTTTTTATTTATTTCCACTATCTACAAAATAAAAATATCTCAACTTATAATAAATCCACACACCTAAACCAAAATAATAATATTAATATATTATAAAGAAAACATGATAATAAAATAATGTAATTAGTATTTTAAAATAAAAAAGCTTAAAAACTGCCGTCTAGCCGCCTAGGTGCCACCTAGTCGATTTTTTCAGCCGATTCATACAAATCGGAGGTGGTAGGCTACGCTTAGCGCGTAGATGGCCACCTAGGTCGATTTTTAGATTACTTCTTTTTATATATAAGTATTGTTCTTTAATAAACAAAAGAATTAAAAAATCATGTTTGCATAATACTATTCTCTTTCAAATCTCATAAAACTTTATATTAACATATAGTTATTCTCTTTTTTTCCATATGATAATTATTATTTTCTCTATTTCTTATATTTTAATTATTTTATTTCCATTTTTTTAAGAATCTTGTACTACATACTTAAAATAAGACAAATAATATAAATAAAAAATACAACCTAAAACAACTATACCTTTAATAACCCCACTTAGCCACCCTAAACAATTAGGGTCATTTCAACGCCTAGAGAGTAGATCTAGCAAAAAAAAGTCCTCTAAGATTTAAGTTTAGAGTCATTGATGCTTGGCACAATGTAAAATAGTAGATCTGAAATGAGAAAATATGTACAAGGTCATGTAAATCAAATTGGATGAAATAAAAGCATGATAGATATGAAAAGTTACTAGTCCATAAGAATGAACCNGACAAACCCAAAGAATTTTTAGGTGAAATCCTTTGAGTTTGTCCCAAAGCCCTTTCTCAATCTCTTCTTTCACCCACAAAATTTGATGGTTTTGTTTTTCTTCTTTTGTCTCACATATGGAAGTAGAGCAATTGATCAACCCAATATTTATCCTTTTTATAGGCTGCAACAAAGGTGCCATTAGGGTTTCATGTTTATCTACTGAAATTACAATACTAACCTTTTTGATAAGGAAAGATTCGTGTCCACGTGCTACACGCATTAAAGTTTCATTGATGGCAGTTACCAACTTGACTAGTCATTTTCCTTGTCTTCAATTATTACCCCATTTACGTCACGCCTTCCAATGCTTTAAATGGAGGGATAACGGATTCGTCCCGTGGTTATACTATGAGTTTGAAATTTTTGTTTAATAGATGGGTATTTAATTTAAAACATATACTCCCTCCTATTCATAATAAGTATCGTTTTGGAAAGTTGCACACTAATTAAGAATAATTTTTTTGTCAATAATAACCCTAAGATAAAAATGGATGTTTTTAAAAAAAAGATGAAGAGAATATGAAAAGAGCGTAGTGTATTTATTAACTAAATAAGGGTAATAATGGAAAAATATGTACAAAAGATCCAAAACGACATTTATTTTGGTTAATAGTTGATAAAGCCAAAATGACATTTAAAAAAAATAGGAGGTAGTATAATTTAATAATTTAATTAAAAATTAAAGTAAGATTTTATATAAAATTAAATTTTCTTAATTTGAACAAAATAATATTTTTTACATATATTTTCTTATTCAACACTCGTGTATTTACATGAGTATTGTATTAGTATTAATTTAATAGTAATTTATTGACAATATTCGAAAAATTATTATGGATCTATGGTTGTATGTATTAATCTAATTAATTATATTCACTATTCATAAGTACTTAAAATATTTAATAAAATAATTAGAATAACAATATATGTTTAAATCATAATAACTTAATAAATAATTTAAAATATTAATAAAAATATCAAAAATGTATTCAATTTAACTATAAAAAGGTACATCTTCATTGAATATATTGAAAATTTAAATAATATACTAAAAAAAATATTATGATCGAGTGCAATTAAGAGTTATAAATTGCTTGGCGCTTATGGCGGTGGAGGAATTTATAAATATTCCAAAGGGACGGACACGACTATGCCTCAACGGGTTGGCGAGGTAGCTTCTTATGCGGATAGGGTTCGAGGGGCACTGGCCGGGAACAGTAAAGTCAGAGCTTGTGGCATACGTGAAACACGCTGGATCTCTTGGTCTTCCCTTGCGGAGGACGAGCTCAAGCTCAACACGGATTGTAGCTTTATTCCAGCAACGGACATGGCTAGTGCCGGAGGGGTCATCCGAGATCACCATGGGAATTGGGTGCGGGGCTTCTTGATGTACATCAGTTTCTGCTCCATTATCGGTGCGGAATTATGGGGTTTCTTGATGAACATCGCTTTCTGCTCTATTATTGGTGCAGAATTATAGAGGTCGACAACCTGAGCATTGTTGCTATGATACAGGATGAGACCTATAGCGGGCCGCATGGGAGAATTTTGGTGGGGATTTAAGAACTTTTGGGTCGTCATTGGTCTGTGGAGGTTATTCATGGATTTCGAGAGCCTAACTTTGTTGCGGAGTATTTGGCTTCTTTGGCAGTGAAGGGTCCGGGTGGTCTTCATAGGCTGGAGCATCCATTGCCGAGGGCGGACGTATGGTTAACTCACGATGTGTCTTATCCTCGGAAGGTCGTGAGATAGGTTCTATGTAGGCGCCTCCGTTTCTTGTAAAAAAAAAAAAAAAAAAGGAACAAAATTTACTCTATTCAAGGCAAGTTATTGGATGAAATTTCCTTTGGAAGACAAGTTTATACAAAATGTAAGTGAATAAAATTAGTGCGAATAAGAATTTGAATGACTTAGAGAAAGCATAACCCAAATCAAATGATCATGTAATGCTTTATAAACTAGTTATGGATTGATGTAAGGGTGGTACTATTTCCGTCCCCCATTTTACTACTTAGCGCCCTCCTTGGACGATTTTGCGCTTTTCATTTTTTCTAAACATCTCAGAGGAAAGTGTACGGTGAAATATCGTCAAATACCGAGGTACGAAAAATTTTATCCGGCCGGACGGGCTATGTTCGAACCGGCCGGACGGCTGTTACGACGGCCGGTCGGAACCGGTCCGTCTGGTTCGACCGGCCGGACATAATTTTTTTTTAATTATTATGTTATATATTCGAAATAATTATGTTATAAATTGGACTATATTATTATGTTATAAATTATTATGTTACATTTTAGACTTGATTATGCTATAAATTGGACGTTTATCGTGTTAAAAGTTACAAATTATTATGTTACATGTTGATTATAATATAAATTGGACGTTAGATATTATCGTGTTACGAGTTAAAAATTATTATATTACATGTTAGTCTTGGTTATGTTATAAATTGACGTTAGATAGTATCGTGTTAGGAGTAACAAATTATTATGTTACATGTTATAGTTGATTATATTATAAATTGAACGTTAGATATTATCCTGATCGTGTTAGGAGTTACAAATTATTGTGCTACATGTTAGACTTCATTATGTTATAAATTGGACGTTAGATAATATCATGTTATGAGTTACAAATTATTATGTTACATGCTAGAATTAATTATCTCAATTTAACATGTTCTAAAAATATAAATATTGTACTACATAGCAGGAGCCATGGGAAGATTTTGGAGGAGATGGTGTTGATTACAGTCTGAGTTTCGATACCTGTACATTATATAATAGTGCTCAGGACGCTATTGAAGCTGCAAAACACCAGGCAATGCTGAATGGTTTTCTATTAATAATTTCGAGCCACAAAAAGAAAACGATCAGGCTTTTGAAGTGCCATAGAGGCGAACGGTACAGAGACACAGGCGGAAATTCTAACAATGAAGAGAAGGGCTACCATAACCCTACATTTGCTGTGTATCCTGAGGGTCATCGCCAGCGGCCTCAGCGCTTCATCTAAGAAAATTGTTCGTGATATGACGGACGCTCAGGTGGCCCCGGCAAAAATTATGGCCGCGCTGAAGGAAAAGAATCCGGGAGACAACGTTCATATGCGACAGGTATATATATTTATTTCTTGTAATATATGTTTTAATTAACTTTTTGAAGTTAATTATGATAATTAGTAATTTTTTATATGTAAAAGTTATTGTAATAATTAAAAAATTTTATTATATTTACTAATATATTATTATTGTGATAGTTAAATTTTTTTTTATCAAATTAATCGCATTAATATACTTTTTATTTATTAACATAATATTTTTTTTAAATTATAATAATCATTATAATTAACGCTAATCGGTGACAGGTATATAACTTTAGATATAAGCTGCGGAAAGAGAGTTTCGACAGTAGAGACGTTCCTTCCCAGCTTATGCATTTGGCCGTGAGCAGCGAGTATACAGTTTATGCAGAATCCGATCCGAACACGAAAGCGTTGACGCATATATTCATGGCTCATCCTGCGTCGATCAATCTATTCGGGACATATCACTGGTATGTCGGCATAGATTCCACCTATAAAACCAACAGGTATGTTACTTTATAAATACTTTATTAGTACGAATCTTAAATAGTGTGTTTGATTAAGTAAACTCTTATTTGATTATATTTTTTGTCTTCTTGGTCTCATTTGCACAGGTACAAGATGCCGTTGGTCGAGATGATTGGGATGACACCGTGCAACCAGAACTTCCTAATTGCGTATGCGCTCATCAGGGACGAGAAAGAGGCCAGTTACGACTGGGTTCTAGAGAAGTTGAGACTACTGATAGGCCAAGACGTATATCCTTATGTTGTTGTTAGTGACAGAGAGTTGGGTTTACTCACTCCTATTCAGAGGCATTTTCCTGAATCAGCCCACTTACTCTGCACGTGGCACATCAACAAGGATATGGAAGACAAAGCCTACAAACTATTTGGGAAGAGTAAAAAATTCTCGGAGATTTTCAGGCACAGTATGTGGAAGGCAATTGTAGAGGCCAGTACGTTCGATGCCTACACCGATGCCGTTGCCGAGCTGCACGCAAAATATTCGAAGTCTCCAGAAGTGATACGGTATGTGTAGGGCACATGGTTAGGGCACCGCGAGAAGTTTGTGAAGGCTTGGACCAACCGAGTGACACATTTTGGAAACACAACTTCCTGTAGGGTGGAGAGTGCCCATTTTGTGTTGAAGGAGTGACTTCAGACGTCCACCGGCGCGCTCGATACAATTTGGCAGAAGATTAATAAGCACATCGATAATCAAGTTACTGAAATCAAGTAGGTACTGCAATTTTTAAATGCGTTATTATATTACTATATTAATTAATTATAATCTAACGTTATGTAACGTATTATCAGGACGGCGCTTGAGGCCTCGAGATCTAAGAAGAATACACGGTATAAGGAAATCCTTTTCGCGAGCGTGATACTGAGGGTCTCGCATTACTGTTTGAGTTTATTGGACGCTGAGCTTCCGAAGATGCACGATTTGGACGCCGATGTTTACACTAGCTGCGGCTGTGTATTGCAGCTCACTCATGGACTTCCTTGTGCCTGTCTGCTCCGCAACGCAGTTGATTTCAACATTCCGATTGATCTCGGAATGATTCACCAGTTTTGGAGAACGCTACAGATATTAGAGCCAGGTAATTTAAGATTAATGTTTTATTTATAATTTTCTATTAAAATACATTATTTGGTTTAATTCATTAGCTTTTTTATCGTATACTTGTAGGGACTGGTCATCAGAGCCAGACTGCATGGTCAGATGCGGAGTTCTTTCAGACGCTTGTGAGTGAGGTTGAAACCCGCGATCCCGCGACTATGCAGTACGTGAATCAGTTCATGTACAGTCATCTTTACCCAGACCAACAGGATTATGCGCGAACCTGAGGTTAAGGATAACCCGCGAGGTCGTCCCAAGAAAACTAATTCAACTAAGCGTAAATCATCTGCTTTTGAGTACAACGATAGATCGCGAGGTCGGAAATCGAGCCGTACGACCACTTTTTCGCGTGGACAGACAA